GCGTGACTGGAACACACTTAAGAAGGACCCTGCAGCATCTCCATCCCTTGACGCCTTCAAGTCTGCGCTAAGGGATCAATCAGTGATGTAAACCACATACATCACTTTTTTACTCTGCACATCTGTACATACTGCACCTGCACGCATTCACACACACACCACAGTGCGATTATACTCATCTTTTGAGGACTGCACTCCATGGAAGGAAGGAAGGAAGTTTGCCACGAAATTCTGAAGATTTGAGAAGTTTTATGCTTCTATAAGAATTACCATATGAAAACTTGAATGAACACAAATTGAGATGGGCAACATTCCGGGTTGTAAATCACTGCTTAACACTTGGAAAGAATTGTGAGGGTCTAAAAGTATGCGATTCAATTCTTATTTATTTGACGTACATAAAAGGCCAAGTAGTAAAATGTTTTAAGAAAAGAATACATGAAACAGCCGTTTTGCTGGCGGGAATTTCCCTCCAGCACGCAACGCAAACAGTCAGCTCCCAAATACAATTGCAGACTAATTCAAGTGGCTGTGATCCTGGTAACACGAAGCGTCAACGACACATCCAAAACGGTATGCATTCTAGTTTTCCGACCGCACATGCAAGACGCAGAAGGACCTGACGCACAGACTTCATGCACATTTCACCAAGTTAGTGACAAAAGGGGACATTTTGCTGCGTCGTACTACTGCAAGTAGTGGTACAGCTTCAACACCTTGGACAAATGGAATTTCCTTCTCCAAGTTGCACATGTAATTCGAATCCCGATGGTCATAACAGTTCAATATTTGACTAGTGAGGATCCGACGTTGACTCTATCTATGATCTAGACCACATGCTCCATCGCTTTGCAGGATTATTAGTATTAACAGAATCGTTTGAAATCATATTAACCTAAAGTGTTTTATAACTGGATAGTAAACTTTTTGGATTAAATACGGACTGATTTTGAGTAGAAGAGTGCGGTTAGATAGAATGATAAAATAATGGGGCATAATATTATAGTCACGTCACCATGCATGGTCACTCTGACTAATTTATATAAAAACGCATGTTTTTTTTATTAAATATAAAACATCAATATTTATGATTGTATAACAATAAAACGATTTCAAAAATTAGGCATGTGAACAACCTCATCAAATGCAAAATGTAATGAACTAAGTTCAGGGCAAATATTTTCTAAAAATGAACATCGCACTGGTTGCAAATTTTATTCCCCGGCCGGGCCATGCCCGCACCGGTACGTAGGCACAGCTGCCTGCCATAATAAACTCCCCAGCCCCAACCTCGTCCCCAGTGCTTACTTTATTTCCAACCTGGTTTCCAATAATAAACCCTGGATAGGAAACTTTCTTCCTGTATCCTGATTCGATACCGCAATTGGCTAGTAATGGATTTATATCGTGTACTTGGTGTTATTATTCACAACGTGCAGTACGTGTTTTTCGCGATCATTTGTCCATGCCTCCTCGAAAATACTAATTTCCTTTCCAATATGGTCATATTAATATGAAATATGATACTGCATGTTGTCTCGATAAAATCGTAACAGTTTAATGTAAAAAAAAATTGTGTTTTTGTAACTCACGCCGTGCTTGCGCTGCGATGAATTGACTCTGTTTTCACCCCAGACACCGCATACAAAAACAAACGCTAATGTAACGCATATCCAGGCACCAGACTATTCCTCATGTGCATACGTGTTCAAAAATCTTGCACATGCAAATGATCAAATACCAGGGTGAGAGAGCAGGTAGTGATGGGCGCGTACTGTTCGACACCCTGGGGACGAGGTTGCCCCAGCCCCACTCATACGCCTGCACGGTAAACAGCCATTGACAACTCCAATCTATCCTGGCCTTTGTGGGAAAGGGTTGGCTCATTACCAAACAGAGCGTGGGAAACAAGACAAACATGTATATCATCATGGCTACGAAATTCTACCACCAATGAGAAGACCCGATGCCAACATCCGAGCAAAACTATTTCAGTCGACATGGCTGATAGGTCATAAAAGCGGCACAGCTAGGACCGCCCAAAACTCATCACGTTTGAAATTCATGCGGATTTCTCAAACTCTTCCATCATAGCAACATAATTGTCAAGGAAACCAGTGAAGGCCCTCGTAAATATTCATGAGTCAGTTTCTACCAAAATGTCTTCCATAATGATATTGGGTGATTTAAGTTCATCTACTCGTGCTCTTTTGTCTGTACTAGATATTGGTGTACTCCTAAAACTGTGAAATAGGCCTACACGACCAAGTGGTTTTCTTGTGCATAGACATTTTCAACCCTCTGAAAATTCGTATTTATTCTTTGATTATTTTTTAGCTCCCATTAAAAAAAATTGCTCGGCCGCGGTAAAACAAACTTTATTATTCGTTGATTTTGATGTCACATTCAGAAGTGAATGACACCATATTATTTCATAAAGAACACAATATATACTTTTAAAAGTATAGAGACTAACTTTATGCTGTATTTTCTAAAGATACTACGTTGTTTAGTTTTCAATATTTCTTACATATTCATTACACGATAGAGCAAAGAACATGATTACACTCATCATTTTTCTTACATTCTAGATTGCGGAAATGAACTCTCTAATACCTCGCACAGTCAAATTAAATTTATGAAAATGACAATGCATATGGAACTTCGGTAGGATATAATTACTATTTTGGGGTGTGGGGCATTAATTCTTCAAATGCTTTATTACTCCACATTAATTACAAATAATTAAATTCTAATGAATACCGAAGGGTCTCTTGATGAAGTCTAAATATTTTTGAACAACATTTCATATCATTGCCATGACGTGGTAACTTGTGATGGTCTCCCCGTCTCGTCAAGTAAATGATGGCTTCTTGAGTACCTACTCAGAAATCGACAAGGAAATGAATACACATGTATATTATATATATTAGGCCAAGCAAATTTTCAATACATAACAGAATGTTTGATGTCAAAGGAATCCTCATTTAATTAACAATAAGTTGATTTTTAAGTCAGGGTTTAACCAATCATAACAACAAAGTTGCGATCTTATTCCCTGGACCTTTATTCTGTCCGGACGCGCGAAGAAAACACCGCGATGCGGCCAGACAATGCCACACAACCCATTGCTCGCTACGCGTTTGGCACGGTCAAAGTATAGTTCAGATCCCGCTCCACACTGCACAACACAGCAACAGGGATAATACGTGCACATTACCACGTGTCAAACAAGTCTGACAACGGCTGATCCCGCTCCACACAAAATGCCATCCGCGTACAAAAATACATGCGGTAGTAGACTATCAGTCTGGTTCCAACTCTCGTCACCGTTGTCAGCCACAATTTGCTCGTTTCGCCTCTGTTGTACCATGGAGTTATTTCTCCGTGGTTACTTGTACTTGGTGCCTCTCTATTATTACAATCGAAACCGTCGGATCGAACACGTACGTATTGGCCCGGCGGGTCTGCAGAAGATCGGGCATATTCACACCTTTTGTTATTTAAATGAAGCGTTCTGGCCCGTGCCAGGACGGGTTGTCAAGGGCTCGTTTGTTTAAAAAACAATGACGCAATGAGTGACAAAGTGCCTTGCCCAAGGACACACGCACCATAGCCGCAGGATGGACTCGAACCCACAACCTGCAGAATTACCCGCAGACCATATTAAAATTCAATGCTCCAGACTAATGATGTGCAAACCCGACCTGAAACCGAAACCAACCCGACCCGAAACCGACTTCGTGTTGGGTCGGGACGGTTTGTCCATCTTTTCAGTCGGGTCGGGTCGGTTTTGGTTTTGCATTTACATTTTCGGGTCGGGTCGGGTCGGGTCGGGTCGGGTCGGTTTAGCCATCTTTTGAAAAAATAGAAATAAACCAAAATAAACTGAAACAGTTGAGAAATTCAGGTGATGCAATATTATTGACAGCCACTGTGACCGCAGCCCATTGTGTGGTGTGGCCACCGAGCACACTATCAAGTTCCCACGGTATGAATTTCTCCAGTCGGATCAGGACTGACAGTGAAATAGATAGATTGTAACAGATTTCATGATACCGCGTGATGACCATGCGTTTGTTCAATAAGCAGGGTTACTCTCGATCAACCCACTGAGTATGACTGAGTGAGAGATGATGGTTTTGCAAAAGACTTCATGCCACGTGGGTAAGGGCAGGCACAAAAAAGTGATCACTTTGTCCAAGCCAGGTATTTAGGTTTTTTCAGGTTTTTTTTTCAGGTCGGGTCGAATTGGGTCGGTTTTACCTTATTTTTTGTCAGTTCGGGTCAGGTCGGTTTGAGGGAGTTAAGATCGGTTTCAGTTGAGATTCGGTGTATATCTGTAATGTTTCGGGTCAGTTTGGCCTGGTCAACCAGACCCGATGCACATCATTACTCCAGACCACGAGACCATACTTCACGCTAAACCTGCACGAACCAATATGAGCACACGATGTGTCCCTTCCACTGGGGCCCTTGAAACTTCTCTCTGTTCATGCGCAGAGTCCATAGGGACAAGACAATTTATCTCATACGAGTAAAGTCATATTCAAGACCTTAAAGGATCACCTTCAAGAGAATGTACTCATTTGGGCTAGAAAAAGCTTTTACCAATAAACTGATATTAGTTGGTAAGATAGTTACTGGACCCAGAAATATTTGCCCTTTTCATGCAATAGAGCCTGAAAATCACCCCTGGTGACGTACTTTCAGGACCCTTAAACGCAAAAGTTTACTTTGAACTTGTAAAACTTCTAGAATTTGCAATTATTTTTGTTCATTTACTTTTACAGAAAATCACGATGAAAAATGTCTTTCTGGAATTGTTACTGGCATATCAATATTTGGAAATGATAAATCACCCGACTTGAACGAGAAATATTGTGCCAAAAATTAAACCCCTCACTAACCAAAATCAAAAATACACAAACTTAAACTTAGGGATTTATAATAGTTTATAGATTGCACCCATGATTGCAGAATACCTTTTAAACAATTACCTGTTTTTACCCAGCATTAGTACTCTAAGTGATTTTAGAGCACCTAGTCCAGTTATATCCTCCAGCTGGTTGTCATACAGGTCCAGGAATATCAGTCTCCTCAAACTGGTGAGGTGCTCTATTTTGCGGATACTGTTGTGCTGAAAGTTGAGTAACCTGAGATGCTCCTCTCCTTCTAGAATTGGGCACACTGTAAGCCTCCTCCTGTTTTCAAAATGGTTGCCTTTGATATATTACAAACACATACAACATAACTTTCAAGTTTAAATCCAATCTCTCTAGAAATATTAACTTGTTTGGTTTTAAAAATTTTACTTCATGTCCTGCTTAGTCATAGTTCAATATGTGTTTTTTTTCACTGAAACTGTGTCAGTCTCAGCAATACAACTCCTGCAGTCACCTGTCAAGTCACTAGCTATTCAAATAAACTATTACAAAGGCATTCCTTTGTCATTGTTCATCCTGTTTCTTGTGACTTGACTTATGAAAAGAGTTGTGACGGAACCTGTGAAAGGATTTGTGGTGTACTTGACAACACTGACCTACCTATCAAGGTTCAATCTGTCTGGGTTTGCCGATCTTTCCTCCTGTGACCTGTATATGACCGGTACACCAGGGGCGACAGGACTCTCACCAATCATGACCTTATCCCCTGAAAGCCACAACATGGATCCGTTAATCAAATGAACAAATACATTTATAGTACCATCAGAATGCAAATCATGATGCATGATAATCCCTAACAACACTTTTTTTCTCTCACAGTAGTGTCAAAACATGAGCATATTGAAAAAATTTTTTTTTATTGTGTCCTTATCTACATGGCACACAATGTAGTCCTTCATAATAACCTAGTATATAAGTCAAGGATATAATCGGCTATTATGAACTGAATTTTAATATTGAAAGCAGTAGAAAACATTTGCAAAAATAAAAAAATGAAATTCCCAATCATTGGAGAACAGCTTACCAGTTTTTAATTTATTTATTTATTTTATTTGTTCTCATTTTATGGCTTTTCGGCATAGCTGCGGAAAAGCCTTTGATTTGGCCTGATTTTTAAAAACAATTGTTTCTTCTTCCATAAACGTTGTCATAAAACGTTGTCATATAACTTTGAAACTTAACATAGGCAAAAGCATAGCAGATGGTCTGTGAAGATAGATACTATGATGACGTCATTACAGGTCATGGGACGTCGTCTTAAAAGTGTATATTTTAAGGCAGCCTCGACTCCATGGGCGCGTGCGCGTTCCTTACACTAACCCTCGGCCATGATGAACCCGTAAATGATGCTGACTGGCTAATCAGAGCGAAATTGCACCCCGGGTGTGCCCATAATGCGCTCACATGCTTTGCACGTCACGTCACGTACAAACGTTTTGTTTATCAAAAGTGCGCAATGCCTATGGCATATGGATTATGGCAGCCTCGTTTTTCGCTTAAAAAACCTGTATCTTCGGTTGTAAAGGGAAGAAAGAGGTACGTACATTTAATACAAATCCTTGTTAAATAACGCGACGTCCAAACCTTATGTTTGAAAGGACTGATTCTTCAAAAACACAACTCTCAACATTTTAAAGATGGCGTCGCACGTTAAACAGATAGACTGCAGCTCTAATTATAATGTGCCATATTTTGACACATTTAAATAAGACAAATCCAGGGGTTGAGATCACGCAAGGCATGATGGGAAACAACATGGTGCAGCAAGATCTCGTACCCATGGGAATGAGGTTAATTTTAAGGTCCTATATCTAGAGACCTACAAGTCACAAGATGAATTAAAAAGTCTTCTTTTTTTTATAGGTTTGCTAGGTCATAGATATTTACACAAAAATGTGGAAAATGTGTGACGTCATAATGACGTCATTAAAGTGCCATTTTTTAAAACACATACCGGTATGAGACCTGCTCCCATGAAACACAGACAAAGTTGCACAAGTTGTTTGTGAAGCATGTGAAGTCATTTGGGGTAGGAACTGTCCATTTTAAGGCTCTTGAAACCTTTCAATACGTGTATCTCATAATTGGGTTGTCAGGCTTTTATCCCTTAATCCTTCTTCCAGAGGTGATAGGGTCACAGTACCTATTTATTTATTTATTTATTATCCACATCCAACAGCAGAAAAAAACGCCAATTACAGGACTATCACATATCATATATCATATATCATTTTGAAGCTGAAAACCTCAGTAATTTGAAAAAACTATTCCTAAAAACAAATAAAAATTGTCAATTTTGTCTGGGTTTTGTGGGAGCAGGTCACATATACAGTCTTGTGGTTGCGAAGGGCGATTTCCAAAGGTTACGTTACACTTTATTTTGAATGAAACAACATGCACACAGACATGTTCACACAGGTGGGTGAAATCTTTGAAAATTAATTTCTCCCGTTTGGGAAACTGTATTTTCTTGCAACTTTCTGGGCTTATTTCTCTTATAATGATCCAAGTATGTGCTAAAATTGTTGTGATATGTTCATTACTTTTTGCTGAAATTGGAAAAATAGGTCAGTCTACGTGCAAGTTGTACCACTGGTGTTTGCAATATCTGTCAATCTTTTTAAGCCTCACAAATATTAATAAGGTTTCTATCCATTATGGTGTGCAGTAAAAATGTGCATAAAAGCCTCCTTCACAAGTTATTAAATAATACATATCACCCTTTTTGCCGGCTTTCATTGGTCGATACTGAGACCCACACCAAGACCCATGCCAAGTCACGCCGAGTGACGCTAATGAATATACATGTAATATGCGCTTCGTCACTGTGTTGCTGGGCCAAAATCGGTCAACCATAGTGCCTACGGCGCTCAGGGTCTTTGCTGAAAACCACATGTTGTTTTGGACAACAAAAAATCCTTGTCCAAATTTTCCTTGGAGATTACACATGTACACTAGCATTTGCAACAACAGATTAAGCTGAAATTCGGAATATACTTAGATGATATAAGTGTTCAACTACTCGTGAAATAACAACTTGAGTAGATTCCTAGAAATTGAGATAAATACATGGATTGGGGAAGTTTTCGAACGACTTGAAGGACAGCTTTACCAGTAACCAGTATTGAGGTTTCGGCATCGATGACGGCATTTTTTTCAATGACATGAAGTTCTTCTTCCATTATAATTAGCTGTTTGGTGTACACACTGAAGCAGCTCTTGTTTTCGTTAAGATTTTTGGCTTTTCCGCATAGTTGGGGAAAAGCCTTTCTTTTTGCTCTGATTTTTTTTCTTTCTTCTACTTCTTCTTTTTGTCGCCACAAAATCCCATAGACATTGTACACGTCTTTTACCGCCTGCACTTTTGCCATTCAACTTTGTCATACATCATTCAAAGTCAGCAAAGGCATAGTCCTTATAGCATAGATGTGCCCAGAAGAGTGACTCCATGGTGACGTACTCATGGGTCACTGGACGTCATATTGAAGATTTCTAGATGTAATCTTTGAAAATCAATATAAAATCAACCGTGAGAGACCTGAGCTTGATCTTTGCGGGAATTGATTGAATAATACGGGATCTTCATTTTATCTCAAGTGAGCCAAATCACGTGACCCTTTCTTCCGGTCCACACCGGAAGTGCATTATAATTTAAAAATTGAAAAAGATGTGAACTTGCTCTTAATGATGTCAGTTATGGCTAGGTTGTACTTTACAGAAATTACTGGTGAAGTCATTACATGTTAGAGCGCCCTCTAGCAGCAGGTTCAAAGATATTTAAAATGAATAATCAGTTGATGTGTGTGGTCAAGTTTGCTGCATTCACTTTATGATTAATATGTATAATTAGCTTTATGCTAAGAAAAAGTTGAAGGGGAAAAGATTGATGACGTCACCTGACCTGGCACATACTTGGACCACCACCCACAGATGGTCCTAGAAGAAATTTGTCATCGTGATGTCATCAGGTGTCAGGTTACGCATTAAAGATGCATTTTTCCCCATGTGTTTTGTACACGCTTTCGTCAAACCATACACTTTGACACTTTCTTAATGTGATCGACTTCAGACTTGGCACATACTTAAACCATCACCCACAGATAGTCCTATAAGATTTTTTGTCATTATGACATCATCAAGGTGTAATATTAAATGTGCATATTTCAAAGCCTTATATCTTTGGTGGGGTACTGTGGTCAAATGGTTACAACGTTCAACTCGTGTGCCGTGGTGCGTGGGTTCAAATCCTGACCTTGGGAACATGGTGCTTGTGCTCTTGAGCAAGGCACTTTACCATTATAGCTTCGTCCTTTGGATGGAACGCAAAGCGGTATGTCCCGTGTGTTGTGTAATGCACGTTAAAAAACCCAGTTACACTTATCGTTAAGAGAAGGAGTTTGCCCCGGTGTTTCTGGCAGTGGCTGCAAGATGCGCCGCAGCCCCTTGTTAATTATTATAAAGGTGCTACATAATGGGTCTCATAGCTCTCATTAACTTGAGGGCCTCCATAGAAAGCAGTGCCTTGCACTGATCGAAGTTTACATTCATTAAAGATGACGTAAAAAAAACTAGATTTATGTTTGTGGACAAACACAGGGCTGTTTCGGTAACTTTTTTGTGACATATATGTGACATAGTTTCAAGCATAAGTTCCATCCAGGAAGGATGTGTACAATGGTGGCATATAAATATGTGATTACATTCTCAAAGAGCTTTGAATCACGTGATGATGTCATGATGACATCACAATCGGACCTGTTATCTGTCAGATCTAGCAGAAATCTGCTAGAAAATGGTCACCGTAGAAAAATCACATATAATGCGACGTAACTTGGCACTTGATGACGTCATGATGACGTCAATGTTTGGCGCACATCTTCAGATGCTGGTCTAAGTGTGCGCCGAGTATAAAGTCAATCGGATTGATTTTAGTGCCCAAAGTGCCTTCCAAGATGAAAACGTGTACAAATGCCATGGGCAATGGCTGAAAAGAAGGGGGAAAAAAAGAAACAAAAAAGAAAAAAACGAGAGATCTATGTCTGTTTGCAACAGAACATATGGCTTTTCTTCATTCTGCTTTTTTTATCAATAACATGTCCCTGACTATGCATGTACAAGGTTTCAAAGTGTACGGTACAAGAAATTTTTAATTTAGCATGTAGCGTCTGTAAGATATATTATCGTCCACCAGAAATAAAACCTTATTAAATCAGACTTGTCGAACTACCTTCGTATGGAATTTTGACCCATTCGGACTGATAGTTTTTCTCAATATGAGACTTTAAAAAATGCATCTTTATGATAGTGCCACTACCCTGCAATGACGTCATCTTGATAACACTTGTCAATGCACATTTTTGCATTGTGGTCTTGGTTTGTACCAAGCTTGAAGTCAATCCAATGAAAGGAAGTGTTAAATTTTGGAAGCGGAATGAAATTGTAAATTTTTAAAAATCAGAAAAAAAATCATGCGATGACGTCATAGAGACGTCATTTTGGATTTTGCATACCAGTACCATTATCTAGCTATCCATTAAGTTTCATGACATCGGAGTTTCCCTTATATGTGTTAAAAAAAAACGCATTTTTGATGACGTCATGATGACGTCACACATGTTTTCAAAATTTGGACATATACCTATTACCTAACAAACATAATACAAAAAGAATGTTTAATTTTGCATGTTGCGTTCGTGAATTATGATTTAAAGGTCCAAAAATTCAAAAAAATTATATAAAATCGCACGTTGACGTCATTATGACGTCACCTCAATTTTTACACCTAACTCATCCCGGTCTATCTACATACTGAGTTTTAACCCAATCGGACTTACAGTTCTGTAGATATAGGACTTCAAAATATGCACGTTTGTGATGACGTCATGTGACCCATGATGACGTAATCATGACGTCACTCTTCGGGGCACATCTATGCTACGAGGACTATGTTTATGCTGACTTTGAAAGATGCATGACAAAAATGAATGACAAAAGTGGAGGCCGGAAAAAAAACGTGTACAATGTCAATGGGATTTTGAGGCGACAACAAGAAGAAGAAAGAAAAACTAGAAATGTGTTTGTGGACAAACACTGAGCTGTTTCGACCGTTTTATTAATGACTGCCGTAAAGGAGTTTCATCCAGGTCGAATAAACATGTACATGCGTATTCTATACAAAAAGTGTCCATCCTATGTAAAAAAAAAAAACATTTTTCATAACTTCATGATGACGGCACACATTTTTTGAATTTTTCTGTATCTATGTACGACCTAACAAACCTTTTGCAAAAAAAGAATTAACCACGTTCCATTGATGAGATATGAGTAAAA